GAAAAAAAAAAAAAAAAAAGCCAGCAAAGGAAACGTAACTCTGTATCTCAAATGAGCTCACTCATTGTCAACGGAAAAAAAATGCAGAGGTAACTACTTTTTTTGGCTGTGCTGGGTATTACCATTACATGTGATTCTGGAATAACCTAGAGGCCACACAGGTACACTACTCCTGTCAGAAGTCTTCTGAACTAGATGCTGAACAATGATGTCATGGGATGATGGTACATGGTACATGGTGTATGGGTTTTGTACCATTTCCACAGCAACCAATTTGGTGTTTTTGTCCTAGGAGTCCTACCTTAGCTTCAACTCAAAAACGCGCCTTTTCTCAGATCAGACATGAATGCATAAAAATTTACTGAAAGCTCTTCCCTATACAGAGCATTCCTCCTTACCTTTATCTTTTTCTTGCTGGAATCCATGATCATTTTCCAATCTGATCCATTGTTGCTGTAGCCAATTTTGAATTTTTTCATGAACACTTTGTTTTCTCGGTGCTTGCCTCCTTGGACAATAATGCCTCTCACTTTCTTTTCTTCACCAAGGTCTATTTGAAGCCATTCATTTGTATATGGATGAGTAGTTGGTGGCAGTGCCCAGCCTGAACGGCTTGTTATAAGGCGAGCATTTTCTGGAATCCAGTTTCTATCAACTTGAGTAGATGCAGTAATCTGAGAGTCAGGTATGAGCCCAGACACCATGCCCAGCATCCCAGAGCAAGGATAATCTACAGAGAAAAAAACAAAGGAACTAAACTGTTAATCTGAACAAGCACCAAAGCAGAAACAGGCCATATTGATCATTTAAACTCTGATAAGCTATTTATTACTTTCTTACACGCAAAATAATCTTTTTGGATTTGTATATAATTTTCATTTGTTCAAACATGCACTTCCTAGTTTTGGCAGGAAATGGAAGTACCAAAATACCACAAGTATTTCTGTCCTTATGGGAACCAAAAGGATCAGAAAATCCTATTCTATTCTTGTTTTCTATTCTTTTTGCTCAGTCAAAGAGTGCAGGGTCATATCTGAATTCGAATTTTCCCTAGGGAAAGTTTCCTAAATCAACCAAAAAACAGTTGCAAATTATTTATAATGTTGTTCTGTAGGGAGGTATCTGTGTGATACAAAGGAGTTACATTCCAAAAAGTAATACTGATTATCACTGGGAACATGAATTTATATGTATAGATACTGAAACAGGCTTTAGATCCCGGGGTTTTTACCTTGTAGTGTTTTTAAACGTAGGTATATATGTCTGTTCCTTGGGCAACCTGCTGAGAACAAACTGCCAACAGTAGGCAAGAGAGGGGGACTGAAGGGTAGGAAGGGGAAAAAAAGAGTGGTGTGTATCTGAGGCATTTTGCATGAAGCTGTAGAGTAATTGCATGAAAAGTAATTACACTATTTAACTTCTCTGGAACAATATTCTGATAACACTGTACGTTTGGGTTGTTGGGTTTTATTTCCTTTCTCGTTTTGTTCACATTTCTACAGTCAGACCACAGCACAAATAGTGAAGATGTATTTCACGAACAAAAATAAAAAACACAGCATAGGCACAAGAAATTCCCTTGGTTCTAAAATCCTTCCCAAGACTTACCTGTTATCTTGCAGCCATACACTTCAAATCTCAGCGATACTCCATTTTCCCAAGACATAGGTCTAATTCGTACAAAACGTGTTAAAACTGGTTTGGCAAAAGGTCTGTAAACAACATCAGTGGGATTGCTATTCCCTTGAAAAACCTTTGTGTGGAAAGAAAAGGTTTATATTTGTTAGGTTTTCTTTTAAATGGTGTTTAGATTTCTGTATTTTATAGATACTAGAGACATAAGATCTAACCAGGGTTATTTCTGTGGGAGATGAGAGAAAAATCTTGCATGGGGAAGTATTTCATTAAACTCAGCATAATTTTTGCAGACAGCTAAGCTTTCCTTTGCGAGGAAAAAGATGTTTGGTGATACTGAAAAATAGCCATGTCCCATAGCACGCTGCAGAACACAGCAGGAGAGCTCAAGGCCTTCAGGAGAGCAGGAACTCACCTGAGCACAGCAAGGCCCTGCCCACTCCCTGCCTATGTTAACACCTTCCCAACGCCCAGGCCTCTGTGTGGGACTGGCAGACACTGGTCCTTGCCTCCCAAGGATTGCCATGTCCTGGCCAAACGCCTCGCTGCCCAATTAAGGCAATTTGATTACTCAAATGTTTGTAGAACGATGCCAAAAGATACAAAGCCTCATGCCCAAATTAAAGGTTTGGACTTCAATTAGACCATATAAAAATTCCCTATATGGAATTAAGCTAAAAACACTTTGTTTTGCTGTCCTTAGGTTTCAGAGTTTTTCAGAGTGTGTCATGCAAGCCTTGATCTGATGACCTTCTGGGCCTAACTCCTTTTTAACAAATGCTCAGTCTTTCTTTCTCCTTGCATTCTGAGATAGAAGTCTATTTAAAGTCTATATGGCGGGTTCTGAGATTTAGCCTCTGTGTGTCCCCTGAGGCTAACAGTCAAATCAGATAAACAATAAGACTTCCACAAGAAGAGAGAGGATTGTGCTGTTCTTTCATGTTGAGGATCCTGCAAACATGCTCCTTCCTAGCAGAGCTGAGATCTTGCAATGTTCCAGTCCAAAGAAAGTGATTCAGTTTCCTGCCTCTTTCTCACGTAGAGAGGACAAGCTTCCTGTTATTTTCCATAGATACAGTCCCCTCTCTTTTTATAGGAGGTTTTCCCATTTCTTACATACAGTGTCTACTTTCCTGTTTGTTACTTGCAGTAACTGCACTAATTTGGAGCGGAGGCCAGCAGCACACAGCTGCCAGCTCACCAGGCTCAGTTATTTCTTAAATAATTTAATAAAGGGGTTTCATACACAGAAAAAGATTTTAAATGGATCTACATTTACTTTCAGCAGCTATTTTCTTTTTCTCTTGGAAGGACCTGTTGTAGTTCTCTCAAGGTTTGCATCTGATCAAGGAAATGGGTCTCTCAAGGCACCTAACTTGTGAGCATGCAGTGCAGCACTGCCATGAGGCCTCCTTAGAATGCTGGCGGCTGCCTGCTTTTGTCATTCCTTCAGCAGCTCAGTCTCCTTCATTGGTTTGGACAAAGCTTTTAGAGGGAGACCAGTGTACAGGTTTTTTTCCTTGTCCTGATCAACAGCAAAATAAGGTCATTTTAGAAATGTGACCTTTCAAGAAACCTGTTTTTTTTTTTTTTAAATAAGGCCTTTGAAAAAGTAAGTGATTTAAGAATGAATGAAGGACAGCACGTACAACAGAAACTTGTGTAAAATACACTCTTGGAGAATTTACAGATTGAAACTGGTAATGAAAATCAGGCATGGTCTGACTCTGAAAGAGGCATTTGTTCAGGTTACTGGAACCAGAGCCAGAAAACCCTATGCCTTGTACCCACTGTAGTGTTGGCTCCTCTTGTGACTTTGGGCAAGTCAGTTATTGTACCTTTTTACATCATTACACAGTGCCTACATTGAGGCATTTGACCTTCTAAAGTTCCTTCTCATCTGTAAAACCAGGATAATACCTGTTCAGGAGGCTTTCAAGATTCTTGTTCTTTGTTTCTTTACAAAGTATTTCAAAGAAGAAAGATAAATGTGCTAAACACTGCTACCATTTTGATTAGATAAAAGCAGCAGACTTGGCGTAACACTTACAGATGAATAAGGGACAAACCAGTAACCAAATATTTAGAGTTAGATACGGTTACACTGATAGAGCATAATTTTACACAGCCAATCTGAGTCCTTACAGAAGGGTCACAAAAAAAGCTGTTTTGAGTAGAGACAGCAGAAAGTCTTCTACGTTGCATCAGCCTCCAGCAGCCACTGGGGATGCTGCTCTCAGACGTATCCCAGGTGAGGTGGAATGCAAGTTACAGCCTCACTGAGAGCTGAGACAGAACTGACTTCTCCGTAATGAGCTTTATGTTCATGGTAGTGGATAATGAAGATTTTTCTTACAACTGTCTAAAGCTGGTTCACTGGGAGGTTACAGGGAGCAAATCTGCTGATAAATGGAAAGGTGATAAAAATCTATAAGGATGGAAAGATAAGCCTAATTATCTGCCTGCATGACCCCATCACTTAGATGCTTGAAAGTCTAACATATTACTAATGGCTTGCTGGCACTCCTGCAAGATAGCAGGACAGATCGGAAAGGAAATGGTATACTGGGCACCATCAAAAGAGGGGTGGCCAGAAGGGAAGGGAGGTGATTGTCCCCCTCCACTCTGCTTTTGTGAGTCCCCATGTGGAGTTCTGTGTCCAGGTCTGGAGCCCCCAGTACAAGAAAGACAGGGAACTGTTGGAAAGGGCCCTGGGCAGCCTGGTCTAGTATTAAATGGGGAGGTTGGTGGCCCTGCATGTGGAAGGGGGGTTGGAGATTCATGATCCTTGAGGTCCCTTCCAACCCTGGCCATTCTGTGACTATGCTGAGGCACCAAAGCAGCGCATATCCAGAGCTTCACTGTATATAAAGGACTGATACATTTTCTAAAAGATTCCCCATAATCTTTTTCTCAAGGTCACATCGGAAATTTCTGTCAATAGGGAAACAGCAGCATACTCTAGGGAAAAGATCCAAACCACTCCAGTTCTGGTGGCTACAATAAGCAAAGCAGAACCTCACACCCTTTCCAGCTGCTGCACACAAACGATTTCTGGGGCTGTTTGCTACCAAGAAAATTGCTGCCTTTTGGATTTGGGATACTGCTAACACTGATCATGCTGATTAAACCTGTGATACCTTATTCCTCTTTTTTTTTCTTTTTTTTCCCCTTATTTAACAACTAAAAGTAACTAAGGAATTCAACAGCCTATTTTTTTTGGCAAAAAAAAGGTAAAAGAGAAAGAACTTACAACAGGCTTGTTTCCTTCCTTCAGAGTAATCCAGTCCTCTCCATTGGAGCTGACATCTACACGGTATGTTTTCAGGTAATATTCTTTCTTTGTCTCTTTTGAGATAGCTCCTTGGGTCCCAATTCCAGAAACGAAGCGGAGAAGGCCCAGATCTACCTGTGGTAGTGAACAAACAGGAATGTGAGGACCATCAATGCATAAGTGACCCTTCTCATCCCTATGTTTCACAGAGGTAATAGGGGTTTGTATAAAGGAAACTGCAGTATATCGTTGCTAATGACAGTACTAGTCTTCTTTATTGCTAACAGGGCCATCAGAGGAGAAAGAAACATTTGCTTGATCAGCTACACACATGGCAGATGATTTCCTTTATGGAGGAGGAATCAGAAACCCCATCACTGCAACCAGGCACCAGACTGTAGATAAGTTATTTGCAAAGCTCCTCAAGGACCAGTCTGGTGAACAATCTTACTTAATACTTTCATTAACTGTCTTGCATAGACGCAAATGAAATTTGCTGAGGACACAAAGCTACCAGGCATTGTCAGTGCAGAGGAGAGCCATGCAGTGAAAGCTGAATGACCCCGAGGACTGGATTATTAGAAATGGGATAAAATTTAATAGTACGATATCGAAGTCATGCACTTAGGGAATGATAAAAAGAATTCTGCTGAAGCCTACAAGCTCATCACTTGCAAACAGATGAGGAGAAAAGAATCCCATGGTACATTATTTAGTCACATGATAATTATGAATCACTGTGCAATTTTGTTGGGAGAAAGGCAAATGAGTTGCTAGCTTGTACACTATGAGGCATTTGCAGAAAAAAGAAGGAGGCATTAACACAAGTACAATAATTTTGCTCCAACTGACAAATGTAATGAACTTCAAGCTTTACAAAATAATGGCAATTTGAACTTGCTATAGAAATGAATGCTATTGTGTGCACACAAATGCTTGCTAGAGGCCATCTCTCTTCCTCAACCATTCTCTGTCTTTCCCTCATGATATTACAAGTGATTTATATTAACTTCCCCCTCAAAAAACTATTTCTAATCCAGATCTATGTCATCGCATGTAGTCACTGAAGCTGTATGAGTATAGCTGGGAGGATGATGTGGGGTGCAGGAGCAACACTACTCAAGTCAGCTCTACTGGCAAGAGAAACCTATGTCTCAGAGCACAAGTCCAGATGCCAAATAGCTGAAAGTAGGCATGAAACTTTCACACTGTCTGGCTGATGACCACAGCTTTGAAACACTCCATTTCCTTACTGCTTTTCTTTAGCCATAAAAACAAACTTGATAAAATCAAATTCATCAGTCTGCTTTCTCCACAGCTGGAACCTTCTCTTTGTTTCCTAAAGCAAACTATTTAAATTCAATACAAATTACACTGTTCACAAAATATTAATCAGAGCAATTAATTCACTTAAACTTGTTGACCAGGCTTTAGGAGCATAATAATAGGTTGATTAATCCTTCTCACATGAATGTCCAGAGAATGTCTCAGGCCTTCTCATTATTTCCAAAGTATGCAGGATGGGGCACATGCATCCCCTGTGTCCCACAGGCATCCTTTTTCCTGGATGTATGTCATATATCCAAAGGCGCTGGAGCAGTTAAATCAACATGCTCTACATTCTCTCTCAAAAGGCTGAAGGAAGTGCTATTGAGGACAGACTGCCTGCTCTCTCAATGCCCATGTCATATGCAAGTCATTCTGAAGTCTTCCAACACAAGAATAGAAGCCTTGTGTGTGACAGATAGAACCAGCTTTCAGCACAAAGCTGCTGCCCCTGCCATGGTTTTTAAGGCTGATGAAGCCTATATGTAACATTTAAGCGTTGGTCTATAGAGGTGAAATAGTGCAACATTTTGTTATCTCATGATTAAAAAAAAAAAAAAAAATCAATCTTAAAAAAAAAAATAATCAGAGCACAGCCTTACAAAAACAATCAAGTGATTTAAAGTAACTGGAGAGTCTCAGATGTTAGATTGTTGCAATCTGAAAGTTAATGGGGGAATCTGGGCATCATTGCGCTGAGCAATCTCAGCTTAACTTCAAATGCTCTCCAAACTGTACTCTGCTGATTGTAAAGTGTGCTGCGCTGAGTTATGTCCAATACCACATTCACTTCCAGACTGAAGTGCACTTGAAAATCTGGAAGTCTGAGGGAGTGCAGAGCTAAGTTATTTAAATGATCTGCTTCTCTTACAATTTGAAACAGCTCTTCAGTTTTGAAATGATTAGGGTCCCAAGCCTGTACCATTCCAACTGATTTGAAATGATTCTAGTAGGGGCTTTTTAATATACAGTAAGTACTTCATTGTGAATAAAGTCAAGCAATGGCCTATTACAAGAATTCTAGATATTCAAAGCTAAGTTAAAATTTAACACTGCGGACTGAGGGGAAGATTTGATTAGTTGATGTCTGAGCGAACAATTACAGCCAGTGGTCTGTGATCACTCAGGCACCTCAGGCTTGTCCCATCACAGAACGTCAGGTGCCCACATTTTGCTAAGGCCCAAATGCTGATATTCAAAACGCTCCTTTAACTCCTGAGGCATTGAAAATCCTGAAACCCATCCATCCCACTGCCCAGAGCAAAATCCTGTACACAGTAAGTTTTGACAGCTACTGTCAGACCCAAAAGCTGACAGAACTCTACAGGTAGGTAGAAATTATCCTGGTGAAAGTTAACAGTGAACTGAGAGAGGGAGACTGTGAGTAGGCCTCCAGTTCACTGCCTCCAGCTATGGAAGAAGCAACCTAATTGTGCTCCTTGCGCCAGTAACTGTGACATGGAATACAGCTCTACAGAGGAATTGCTTCTCTCCAGGTGCCTGAAAATAGAATTGTAATACTGAACACCTCTCTGTGGTACCTCTGTGTTTGTAAATCAAACTCTACCTTTACCAATCCTCTCTAAGTAAGGTGATTGAAATAAATTATGTAGAAGAAAACCTGGAAATTGCATGAAACACCCTAAAAGAGCTGTCAAATTAATCTTTACTAGTCATTTTTTGATGTATTTTGTTCTCTTTCTATTTTTTCAGGGTTGAAGCTCAACCATTTTAACTGCTATTAACAACTGGAACCTGAAGGTACCAGAATGTAGAGGTTGTAAAACAGAGCTCTTTTGTGCTATGTTACCTAGAGGAACCACTGCAGCAGCTCTAGTACAGACGTGTCACAAATAGGTAGGAGTTCCTATACTTTTTGGAGGTGTTTGCTCCACAAGTAAGTAAATTTCCAATCAGCTCAGTGTGCCTTCTCAACAGAGTGTTAATATGACCAGAGGTAACCCATTTTTTTCATGTCCATTCTTCTCTAGTCACAGTGTTAATATGAATCTTTAACAGCTAGCTTTCTGTTTCGGACTTCTTGTCCTTTATTTGTGTTTAGAACTTGTGTTTCATGTTAAAATGAACTGCAGAGATGGTGGTGAATCACAGTACTTTTGAAGACGAACATCAAATGCATTTCCCTGCAATTATTTGACATTTAGCTTTCTGCACATATGATAAACAAACATCTGGAATTTATTTTACAGGATGCAAACAATTTTCTAAGTTATTGCATGCTGTATGGTCACGGTCTGAGATAGACAGTTGTCTCCAAGCCTGAAATCACGATGTTTCATTTCCACGAACAGAATTTTTGCTTTAACTAACTGCAGTTTACTGACAGTCCATTTTCGAAATCTTGCTCTCCTTCATTCAGATTAAAAAGCTTCTCTCTTCTGGAAAATGGTGCCTTAGGGCCCTATCCAACAAACTGCTTTGATAATTGCCTGTGTTGCAATGTGACCGCCTCTATTGGTAAGTACAAGTCTGGGAGCAGACCTACCTACAGGAATGGGCCCCAAGAAATGAGGAATATCTCCAGTGTGTGTTTCTTCTCCAGAAGAAAAATGTTCATGTAGAAAAGTCCCAGTTTTTCCTATTTCTAAAATCAATTTATTTCCTGTGAAATCATATTGCAAGACACTATTTCTGCATATGAATTACTTCCACAATATTTATACTGCAATATCTTTTAGCTTCCAGGAAAAATATTTTTAATGCTGTCTTACTGTCTTCAAAATATGTGGGTGGGTGACACACTTGTAAGACACAGATATGCAACGGGTGGCATGCACATTTGATTTTGAGACCATTTAAGGAGAGAGAAAAAGAATAACATTTAGCTCTGCATAATATATCACGCAGCAAATCTTAGCACAACTGCTGGTTAATGAACAACACACAAAACGCAAGGCACAAAATGGATATTGCTTCTTCCTGTCGTCATACATAACCATGTCATTGTTTGGAAGACTTTATTTTCAGAATGAAAATCTGCCTCCCTAAATAAAATACAGTTGCTGAGTGAGCTGTAGCAAGGGAGCAGTTTCACGAGCTTTTAACACTCCTACTGTAGGTCTGTTCAACAGCCTGAGAAAATAAAGGACAAAGCGCTGGAGTTTGATTAACAACAGGAAGCTTTTTGTTGTGGGCATCTCTTGTGGCTTGAAAAGCTGTATAATCCATCACTTGACACAACACACCAAAGTAAATATTTTTAGAGAACTGTGTCATTTCCCCAGATAGCATACAGTGCTCTGATTTATATTGACTGTTGTGATGCTTCACTGTTCTGTCAAATATTTTAATTAATCAAGAGCTAATCTTTTTCATTTGTTAAGCCCATATTTTTTATTAGATGCTGCTGTTGTTTTGACCAATCACGTGCTCCCATGATGTACATACAGCTATCAATTAGTTGCTTTATTTATTGAGCTTTAAGTAAAAAAGATTACAATGCTAAGTAAAAATGGCACAAGCTCTAGTAGAAATTCTGAAAGGAGTTTCACTAATTTGGTTTGAGTGTTATTTCCAAAAGCCTTCATCCCTGAATTGAATTGTCATTGAAAGAGCACAACCCCTTGATTAATGACAGAGTGTAAATATTCATCCTGGGTTTAAGTGAAAGTAGTGAAGGCTTTTGTGCAAAATTCTCATTGGTACTTGTGTCAGCTCCACAAACAAAGCAAGATAAAAATATTGCAGTTGGTAGGATCTCTCCTGAGTCACTGAAGTCTTTCTCATTGACTTTGACAGCAACATCCTGAAAGCCTGACAAGAGAAAGCAGCTAATCATGTGCTCGACTTCTAGCCTGTGCTGAACAACTGCCCTCAGTCAGCATGCTTTACTGAACTGATGCCTATGTGACTTGGCAAAAGTGGGAAGGTAGGAACAAGAAGATGAGCAAATATTCATGCCAAAGAAGAATGCTTGGCAGCAACAAGCAAATGAACTTTCTTTAGCATTTGAAATATTCCTCGCAATCTTCGCCCTCTGCCCAAATGCTTTTCTGAGCAGGAAAAACGTGAGTGTAAAGACTGTGTGCCTGAAGACAAAGAACTGATTCAGAGGAGGCTATCACACTGAGATACTGATGCTGGGACTGCAGTACTGAGTACAGACTTTTTTTTTCAGAGGTAGATCAGCTAGTTTCTACAAGAGAAAAGTCAAAATCGTCCTGAAAAAGTATGACTAATAGACATAAATGAACCTCAGTCGTCACTGTGGGGCTTCCTGGAAAAAGAAAAGATGCAGAAAGTATAAGAAAAATGAAATCCAGAAAGAAAGGGAAAAAAAAGACAAGAAAAAAATGAAAGAAAAGGCCTCTGTGTCTCTGACAGAGAAAAGATAATGCTTGTGTGGGCTGTGTTGCATCTGGATTCATGGCACATTCTCCCACTCTTATGTTAATTTTTTTTTGCATAAATCAGAAGCAACTAATTAAAAAAGAAATATTTAATTCTGACATGTTCTTTGAACTGGTGTTCCATCTGGTTCTGTTTGAATAGTAAAATCTGCTGTAGTTGTAAAAATTGGCAAGCAGCACTCTGGTAAAGAGAAACAAAAGAGACTCAGTACAGCAGGTTAATACACTAGCATTTCAACTTGAGACATTTCCAGAATTCAGCAAACCAAATCGCTCCAGTATGGAAACTATAAAGATCAAAAGCGAAGGAGAAATACTGTGAGTAGGCTGGGAGAAGTGCTGCCACTGGTACACATTAGCTTGGTGTGATGTTTTCAGTGCGGGGCTTGGAAAGGGTCAGTTTAAGAGCAGGGGCAATGCGCTGGTCCCCTGGAAGGGGCTGACTGTGTTGGCGGGTGGAGACAGAATGCTCCTGCCACTCTTCATGGATTCCAAGCTGCACCTGACGTGGTCTTGTAGGGCTCTGATGTAACATGATCATTATTCAGAAGACTCAGAAAATACCTTCTTTTTAATTTATTTCCTACTTCAAAACTACTTAAAATCTGAACACCAAGTTACGATAACAAAGAGAGGAGAATGTAATAGTATTGGGATTTCTATAGACTCTGGGATACAAGTAATCAGTATCTTGTGCCATTCAAAACCTCTTTGTAGCAATGCAGAGAAAGGCTGATTAACTCCCAGTCCTTTAGAAAAGGATTGTTTTACGTCTTGCAGGAGCATATCTTGCTGTGAAATATTACTTCTTTAAAATGAAAACCTTTGCTTCAGCACTACATTAACTTGCAAATGGATAACCTAAGACATGTACAATGACTTGGTCAAAAAAAGAGGAATGTGAATGGCCCCTTTTTCCAGCTAAGATACTTAGGAACCCTTGCTGAGCCATAAATGAGTCAGGAACGTAATACTTTTAATTAACGTTTTCTGAATACTTATTTGTAATTTACATTTAATTTTAAACCTGAGTTTAATCCTCTGATCTGGAATGAAGACAACTATTTAGTGCAGTATGAATGTAACCTTCCCCAGTTTGTGTTAGAAACTATAGAAAAGGGAAACTCAATAGCAATACTTGCAGAACCGCTCTTTTCTGAGGGAGGGACATAATTGTAGGACTTCTTTCTCTCCCAGCTGTACCAAGCAGCTTATGCACAAATGGGAAATGAGTAATGCAAAGCTTTTCTACCAGACTTCCTCACATGTGAATAACCAGACTCTGGGTGGAAAACACTGAATTTTATCTATGTTTTCTTCTAGCATTTGTTTGCCAGCTACTATCCTGTTGTAATCAGAGGCAGAGGCAGCAAGGCTTGATCTGAAATGTATCTTGGCACTCTAAATGTAAGTACAATATTATACACGCATAAACACATAGGAACTGCCTCTACTTCTTCCTGTTTTGCAGCATACCTATGCTAATCATGTAGGAAGCTCATAAGTGAGGGTGTGATGTGCCATACGGAATTAAACCTCTGCTGTCTCAGACCAGAAAGATTTGACTGTGCAATCACAGATGCAGAGAAAGTGCCTCTGAAATCACTGGAATTTGCTACAAAGTTCAAGCTTTGAGTTTTCTATGTACACAGCAACAAAACGTGGAAAAAATGCCAGTGTCTACGATTTAATATTTTTTAAGCTTAATTTCACTGGGAATTGGAAAAGGTGTATAACCTGTGTCACTTAGAAATATATGTATTTTCTTGTGATCAGTTTTCTCATCTGGGAAAATTGGTGCAGTCTCTTTAAATCAGTCAGTCATCCACAGGAGTCTGCATTCATTTATTCTCTGTTAAATGGAACTGTCAGTTTTGTTGCACCAAAATTCGATTTTCTATTTCATACACATTGTGTATGATGATTTTAATTTACTACTGGGTCACCAAACAAGTCACTGCTTTTTTTAAAATATGAGTTTTTGCTACTTTCTAGAGAAAATGTCAGGTAACTGCAGTCAGTTGATGTGCGGAAGGGACTGTAAATGCTAAGAGAAAAGGGACTGACGTGCCAAGATCATCTTGTTTGGTTCGTTTCTCATAGCTTCAGCTGTTGATGAAGTCCTTCTGAGGCAGGGATCTGGAAGACCTGCTGGTGAGTGCAGGGCTTTTGCATTTGTAAGAGTACAGGGATAGCAGAAGGGATACACAGGTTGGTGACCACTCGGACAAAATCACAGAAACATCTGAGTTGGAAGGAACCCTCCCACAATGGACAGGAGCACTTACACTAGGTTAGGTGCTCAGAGCCCTGTCCAGCCTGACCTTGAGTGTCTCCAGGGATCGGGCATCCACCACCTCTCTGGACAACCTATGCCAGTGCCTCACCACCCTTACTACAAAGAACTTCTTCCTTATATCCAATCTAAATCTCCCCTCTTTTAGTTTGAAACCATTTCCTCTTGTTCTGTCACAACAGATGTTGCTAAAGAGTGTCTCCCCTTTTTTCTTATAGACTCCCTCTAGTGCTTCCCCTGTAGTGCTAAAGCAAAGCACCAGAAGATTGCTTCCTTTCCGTTTCTCCCCTTTTCTCAGCAAGGCCTGCTCAGACTTCTGGGATCTCGTTTCCAGGGTTTCTTGGGCCAAGGAACGTGCCTGGTTTGTGTACTCCCACCCTGTCTCTCTGAAAGTTGCTCTATCTTTAGCCATGCAAAGGGCAAAGCCATTGATTTTTAAGTGCTGTGACTTTGTAAAATAAACACAGGATGTATTTTCTTAGTTAAGCATATCACTGAAAGGGGAAAAACCACTATGGACTGTTAATTTTTACAGCCTGATAACAGCATTTTAAAGTTATTCTATGCTCTGTCAGCCCTTCAACCCATAGTCTGAATTTAACAGGATTTGCAATGGAAGACCTGCTGCTTCCTTTGTTAAGGCTGAAAGCCACCTTAGTCTCCATTTCAATCATCTCTAACCTAAATATGACCAGTTAAAATATGCCTAGGTTTTATAAGCAACACGACAAATTAATCTTATCAGCAGCTTCAAAGGATCAACACCAGAAATGAATTTGGCCCAAAGTGTTCAATGCAGGAGGCTGCAGAGGAGAGAAAGTCCAGACTGCACAGGTATCACCAGCTGCTGGGAGCTGCGTGCAAACAGGGCTGCGGAAGAGCCAGGCACTCCTGAAAGCACAGGAACCCAACTTTGGCTTAACAATTTCTTGACTGTCAGCTCTGCTTTCTCTGCTTATAGGCTTTGTTTATCAGACAGCTATGAAGTTCCAGTGATGTTTTTTTAAAGAATTTTTTAAAGCCTTGAACAAAAATGTTAAAACTGAAGCAAAAGTGGAAGTATTTCTCTAATGATGATTTTTTTTTTTTTTTTTGTGAGAAGAAGATAAATTGCTTTCTGAAGGGAATCTATTTGCCACTTGGAAGAAATCTAATTTATCCTTCCACTATGCCTATTTTTCTGCTGCTGTGAAAATGTCACCTAATGGGCAGAACAGAATCAAAATGGGATACAGAAGCAGGATAACACAAGGGTAGGGGAGGCAAATGGCAGAAAATCCAGAGTGTGGATGCTGGGATGGGGAAGGACCCACAGGACTCATGAACTCTTCAGCCTCGTACTGCAGTGCAGGTGTGGAATGAGTGAATAAAACCACACAATCGTCTCTGCAAAGCACTCAGCTGTGCACCTATCATCTCCAGCCCGAGGTCAGCCCTGTGAGAGCAGAGACCTTTAGCTCAGTAACAACTCTGCCTATTATAACATGCCTCAGCTGCGTGTTCCTACCCAAGACTGTGTTTTTAGCCACTACATTTAGTCATTTAACTTCTAGCCTTGAGCTCTGCTTTCCCTGCAGCCCGACACCTGCCTGGTCTTGTAGATTAATTTATTTATGCTGGACTTGGAAAAAAAAATCTCCTTTTGAGATACCTTCCCTCACCTCTGTGTAGAGCATGGGCTCAGAGGAACAGACATGTTGTGGTGTGGGATAGGTAAGGCTGCCTCAGCCCACACAAGCTCTGCAGACCCTCCGGGAGAGCTCCCCTGCCAAGCAGAATGGCACAAACAACTGATTTTTTGCCTTCATGGCAGTTAAAAATATCATCGAGCAATATCAAATGGTTTGAGTCAAGCTAAACACATGAGCATGATTGGGAAGAAAAAAGAGAGAAGAATCATTCTGTTTCTAATGTTTTCGAGCGGCTTTAATTTCTGTGAAAGAAAGTAGAAGAAAAAGATACTTCCATTAAAAAAAAAACAAAAAACATTTAGTTTAAAAACATATTTAAAGGTTTTAATTTCTTTGCCTCCTGAAATGAACTATTTTGTGAAAGTGAGATAAATTTACAAGATTATTTTAGTAGCTGCTGATTCAGTGCTTTTGCTGGACTCATTTTTAATTTGCTACCTCAGCTCTAAAGGGCCATCTGTCTTGCAGCCATTGAGGGGATGTAGGGCTGGACTGGGAAGTGGATGCATAGGTAATTACGGAGTTATATACAAACTGCTCAGATCTCTGCATAATGGATCCCCTGAAAGAAGTGCAACTATTATAATGATTAGGCTGGTGGTGGAGACTCGGAGGGGCTCTGCTTCTGCTGCTCCTCCATATGCTGCAGCAAGGATTGCTCAAAGCCACGCAGGACTCCCCTCTGTACCTGGGCTGATGCAGAAACATGTCAGTGGGATGCAGCAAGGCTTTTCCTCTAAACGGCATTTTGCACCTGCACTTCTGGAGCAAAAAGGCTGCCAGTGGTTGCACATAGCACTCTGAGCATACCTCCAGCCTCCCCAGAGTGATAAATCTATGGCTGGGAACTTTGTGGTACTAAAATAGCTCTTGAAATCTTTTGAATAACAATAAAAAACAACAACAACAAAAAACTTCACACTTTGCAGGGCCCTTTTAGTTCTCCCTCTCTCTCTTGCCTAATTTCAGTACTTGCCTTTGAGAAACTGTACCATTTATTCCCATGTCACAGTAAATAAAGGTACGAATGCATCCTGCTGGGTCAATTAACCCCAGTTCTGCACTGTGTCACAGTCTGTACTGGCTGTGATTTCCAGAAAGGAATATTCTTTTGTCATTCTTTGCCCATGTGCAAACACATGTTAAGACTATAAGACAACTGTAACACTCTTCCACATAAAGCTAACTCTGCTTTTTGTAATTGTTGAAGTACAGTTATGAACTGTAAAATGACATGAACCAAATACATGACTTGCATTCTGAAGTGGTAGGGAAGACAAAGGACTGGCAGGTTTTGTGCTTTCATGTCAGTGTGCTCCCTAATGATGGGCAAGCCCTGCCATGAAGCCTCTGAGCCTCAGCTCTCAGACAGTCCTTCAAAGGCCAGAAGTGGGTTTCCCAGGTTTCCCATTAATCTATGCAGAAATATGATGTACTTCACTGCAATATCAAACTCCAAAAGAAGCAGAAATAATTGCAGTGGAAGCAAAGGCAGTGTTGATTTGCACTTCCTTGAGCTTTCACGTGAAATATTTAGATAAGCTCGCTCAGGAAAGTCAACCTGAGCAGCTGCCTGATGTAAGAATAAACCTGTTACTGAAACAAATGTGCTGTGCAGAAGCAATATAAATACTGACTGCATTTTTAAGTGAATACCTGATAAGGAGATAGGCTATGACACTGATGAAAGGTCGAGACACCAAATGATAAACTGTGATTATTTTCAGAAGTGCTGCAGGAATAAATCTATATTAATCTATATACCAGTTTACATCAACGGTGCATGTTTCTGTGTTTCACTTACAAAGGAGCAAGTAATGAAGAAGGTAGGTTACTGCAAATTTAAAGGAATGAAGACAAATGTGGAAGAAAAATTCCACCTCAGAGGTCCCTCTCATTCTGGTGAAGCACTGTATACATGGAAGTGTTTTAAATCAATGGAAGTATATTTTCCTTGCATGGGAGAGTTTGTGTTAAATAAACAACTGATATTTCAATCAGTGGAGGCGAGGGGATCCCCCAGGTTGCTTTGTGAGGAGGCCCGTTCGTACTCCAGAGATCTCACTGCTGCAGGATGCAGAAGGATAGTTTTACACCGGGTTGGCTGCTGTTTTTAGGGCTGGCTGGGATGGAGGATGGCCCTGTGCAAGCCTGGGTGCCCGAGGCACGATGCTGGGAGGAGGTCTGAGTGGCAGGCAGGGATCTGGGCAAGCAGGCTGGGATCTGGGAGCCTTCTGGGCCAGACCTGCTCTCTGCAGGCCTCCAACCTGGCCATTCCATTGCCCCGCTGGAAAACCTAGTACACAGATTTGGACCGGATTAACCATTTCTGTCATGTTAGCCGGAATGCACAATATGGAATTCATCGTAGTGTATGGCCCTGTGTCAGCTGCAGAATGACAGATAATACCCAATCCAGAGTATAATGTC